AAATTCTCTTATTTTTAACAATATGAATGAACATGGAGGGCTTATTGTTAAGTGAAATAAGCTGGGCAAACAAACACAAAAATTTCATTATCTCACTGATATGTGGAATCTAAAAATTGATTTGAGAAAAGTACATTTTTCTCATTTGTCCACCATTTTTCTTTCCATGCTATCAGTTAGTTGTAGTCAATGATATTCTAGAAAATACTAATGGAAAATTCCAGTGAATCAATTCATGAGTTTAAACTACCCATTGTCCCGAGAAGTATGCTGAAACCTCTCTCTGCCCAGCTTTGTCTCTCCTCAAAGGTGAATAATCACTTTTTCCAGTGTATCCACCTTTATATTTTATCTTCCCCTTAGTCACTTAGTTGGTGAAAACACAGTATATGTAAATTTTTCTACTGCAGTGGTTTTATTTGTCCATTGGGTGTTCTTGGAACATATCTACTGTGGATAAGGAAGGACTACGGAAGTAAGTAGATCACCAGTTATCAAAAGTTGGAGACAGAAGGGGAGAGATGAGGGTAGTTGACCAAAGTATGCATAACTACAATTTTAATTGCAGAATAAACTAGGTATATTATAAAGCAAGATTAATGCAGTTAATGGTTTATTGTATTCTTGAATAATGAAAGGAATGTGAATGTTAACTATTCTCACCACAAAAATGTTAACTGTGTGAAATCATACAATAGGTGGTTGTAGTAGTTCTTGGTCTCCTGTCTCACAGTATAGTATAGGGTAGACTGACAAATGATACACTTCTATAGAGAGGGTGGGACAGAATTCTAAATTGGAAGTTCTAACAGTGTGGAAGGATTAGCCTTGGATGATCTTTGAAACTGTTAGTGGATATCTGAGATTTGATCCACACCCCCTGTTGTTGAAGAGACACTTATCTCTCATAGACATCTGGGTCTTAGGGTCTTTTCCAAAATTCCACTTTTAGGGTGAGGAATTCAAACCTCCACAGGGTTCACATATTCCACCACCAGGTATGTGAATTACCCAGGATCCTTCATGGAGTGCAGACAAATCTGTCTGAGCAGTTGCTGGTTTCTTCCCAGTTGCTTGTATGGGACATTACCAGCACAAGAGGTTCTCTCTCTCCTTGGTATTCCCAGCCTGGATCACCCTAAGTGTATTCCTCTCTGCATTTGTTTCAATAATGTTGGTCAAGGCACATTCTGGACTCCACAATAGGTGACTGTTGGTTCAGGCTAGAAACTTCCTTTATGAGTTTCCAGTCTCCAGACTCTGCTACTTGCTTTGTGGTCACCTGAAAATGATTCCAGGTAACTTGTTCCCACCAGACTCTCTTCCAATTGGATGAGGGATTTGAACATATTTTCACAAACAACTTCTCCCACCATTATTGGGTCAGTTAAAATCTGCCTCCATTTCTGATCCGTAGTATTACTCAAGCTAATTTTATTTACCATGCTTTTTCTTCTCTTGCTCTTTATGTGTGTCCCTCCTTTCTATAATGGGTTACTGGCAGTGACCTCGCCAGCAGTCAAGCTGTAATGTCTCAATGATTATTCCTTATTTTATATTCAATGTTTCTGACTTTTTCTTTCTTTATGATTATTTTATGAAATTTATGAAAATTGAATTTCAGTGAATTTAATTATTCACCCAGCTTACTGAGGACTCATTTTCCAACTGTTTAAATTTTGAGTGTATGAACTGCTAGGGAGTGTACTTTTTTCTAATCTGCACCAACCTCCAGATTTTTTAATTTTTTATTTTTTTATTTCTAAGTTCATTTTAATGTTATTTGATAAAATACAAAGGATCACCTCCATTTTTTGGTATTTTCTGAGACTTGTTTTGTGTTCTAAAATATAGCTTACTTTAGTGAAGTTTGCATGTGCATCTGAGAAGAAATTCAGTATTTCATATATGAAATATTCTAAAGATGTCTGTTACATTCATTTGACTGATAATGTTTCTTAGTTCTATTTATGTTTTTTTTTTTCTACACAAACATCCTGAAATCCCCCATTTGGTTTTTTTTTTTTATTGGTTGTTCAAAACATTACAAAGCTCTTGATATATCATATTTCATACATTAGATTCAAGTGGGTTATGAACTCCCATTTTTACCCCAAATACAGATTGCAGAATCACATCGGTTACACATTCACATTTTTACATAATGCCATATTAGTAACTGTTGTATTCTGCTACCTTTCCTATCCTCTACTATCCCCCCTCCCCTCCCCTCCCATCTTCTCTCTACCTCATCTACTGCAATTCATTTCTCTCCTTGTTTTTTTCCCATTACTCTCACAACCTCTTATATATAATGTTGTGTAACAATGAGGGTCTCCTTCCATTTCCATGCAATTTCCCTTTTCTCTCCCTTTCCCTCCCACCTCATGTCTCTGTTTAATGTTAATCTTTTCCTCCTGCTCTTCCTCCATGCTCTGTTCTTAGTTGCTCTCATTATATCAAAGAAGACATTTGGCATTTGTTTTTTAGGGATTGGCTAGCTTCACTTAGCATAATCTGCTCTAATACCATCCATTTCCCTGTAAATTCTATGATTTTGTCATTTTTTAGTGCAGAGTAATACTCCATTGTGTATAAATGCCACATTTTTTTAATCCATTCATCTATTGAAGGGCATCTGGGTTGGTTCCATAGTCTAGCTATTGTGAATTGTGCTGCTATGAACATCGATGTGCAGTATCCCTGTAGTACGCTCTTTTAGGTCTTCAGGGAATAGGATGAGAAGGGCAATAGTTGGGTCAAATGGTGGTTCCATTCCCAGCTTTCCAAGAAATCTCCATACTGCTTTCCAAATTGGCTGCACCAATTTGCAGTCCCACCAGCAATGTACAAGTGTACCCTTTTCCCCACATACTCACCAGCACTTGATGTTGTTTGACTTCATAATGGCTGCCAATCTTACTGGAGTGAGATGGTATCTTAGGGTGGTTTTGATTTGCATTTCTCTGACAGCTAGAGATGTTGAGCATTTTTTCATGTACTTGTTGATTGACTGTATGTCCTCCTCTGAGAAGTGTCTGTTCAGGTCCTTGGCCCATTTGTTGATTGGGTTATTTGTTATCTTATTGTTTAATTTTTTGAGTTCTTTGTATACTCTGGATATTAGGGCTCTATCAGAAGTGTGAGGAGTAAAAATTTGTTCCCACGATGTAGGCTCCCTATTTACCTTTCTTATTGTTTCTCTTGCTGAGAAAAAACTTTTTAGGTTAAGTAAGTCCCATTTGTTTATTCTTGTTATTAACTCTTGTGCTATGGGAGCCTGACCCCACAATATGTAGATCGGAGCCAACGTTTTTCTTCTATCAGATACAGAGTCTCTGATTTGATATCAAGCTCCTTGATCCATTTTGAGTTAACTTGTATGCATGGTGAGAGAAGGGGATTCAGTTTCATTTTGTTGCATATGGATTTCCAGTTTTCCCAGCACCATTTGTTGAAGATGCTATCCTTCCTCCATTGCATGCTTTTAGCCCCTTTATCAAATATAAGATAGTTGTAACTTTGTGGATTAGTCTCTGTGTCCTCTTTTCTGTACCATTGGTCCACCCGCCTGTTTTGGTACCAGTACCATGCTGTTTTTGTTACTATTGCTGTGTAGTATAGTTTGAAATCTGGTATCACTATGCCGCCTGATTCACACTTCCTGCTTAGAGTTGCTTTTGCTATTCTGGGTCTTTTATTTTTCCATATGAATTTCATGATTGCTTTCTCTATTTCTACAAGAAATGCCATTGGGATTTTGATTGGCATTGCATTAAACCTATAGAGAACTTTTGGTAATATCGCCATTTTGATGATGTTAGTTCTGCCTATCCATGACCAGGGTATATTTTTCCATCTTCTAAGATCTTCTTCTATTTCTCTCTTTAGGGTTCTGTAGTTTTCATTGTATAAGTCTTTCACCTCTTTTGTTAGGTTAATTCCCAAGTATTTTATTTTTTTGAGGATATTGTGAATGGAGTGGTTGTCCTCATTTCCATTTCAGAGGATTTGTCGCTGATATACAGGAATGCCTTTGATTTATGCGTGTTGATTTTATATCCTGCCACTTTGCTGAATTCATTTATTAGTTCTAGTAGTTTCTTTGTAGACCCTTTTGGGTCTTCTAGGTATAGAATCATGTCTTCCGCAAATAGTGATAATTTAAGTTCTTCTTTTCCTATTTTGATGCCTTTAATTTCTTTCGTCTGTCTAATTGCTCTGGCCAGTTTTTCGAGAACTATATTGAATAGAAGTCGTGATAGAGGGCATCCCTGTCTTGTTCCAGATTTTAGAGGGAATGCCTTCAATTTTTCTCCATTGAGAATGACGCTAGCCTGAGGCTTAGCATAGATAGCTTTTACAATGTTGAGGTAAGTTCCTGTTATCCCTAGTTTTTCTAATGTTTTGAACATAAAGGGATGCTGTACTTTGTTGAATGCTTTTTGTGCGTCTATCGAGATGATCATATGGTTCTTATCTTTGAGTCTATTGATGTGGTGAATAAGATTTATTGATTTTCGTATATTGAACCATCCTTGCATCCCAGGGATGAATCCTACTTGATCATGGTGCACATTTTTTTTTATGTGTTTTTGTATCCAATTCGCCAGAATTTTATTGATGATTTTTGCATCTAGTTTCATTAGAGAAATTGGTCTGTAGTTTTCTTTCTTTGATGTGTCTTTGTCTGGTTTCGGAATCAGGGTGATGTTCCCCAAAACCTCATGTCTGGGTTAATAAAAGAATATTCACATGTGAAATTATTGGCTCCTTTATTTTAATTATTTATTTTTATGTGGTGCTGAGGATCAAACACAGGGCCTTGCACATGCTAGGTGAGTGCTCTACCGCTAGGCCAAACCCCCAGCTCAGGATGAGTTTTAAATTTGGACAAAAATCTAAAGGAAAATTGATTTAAAATACTAAAGAATATCACCTACAACTAATATATCTATATCTATATATCTATATGTCTCTCTCTCTATATATAAATATAGAGTCCGGTTTCCCACCTGAGAGCCGCCGCTGTGGGGCCCAGGGTGCCAGGGCGCGGGTGTCTGTGCTGCCACCAGGAGCCGGCGCCGAGCCCGAGATGGAATAATGCCCAGTGGCCTGCCCGGTCCCGGATGCCAGACTAGATCTCCGTGTCTGAGTTCATTGCCGAGACCACCGAGGATTACAACTCTCCTACCACGTCCAGCTTCACCACACGGCTGCACAACTGCAGGAACACCAGCACGCTGCTGGAGGAGGGACCAGCATAGCACTTCTGGCTATGAGGAGTACCATCAAAAGGAGCAAGGACAATATATTCCCCCTCCTGAACTATTTTTTTTTTAAACGTTCTGCCACACAAAACTTTGCTTTTTAAAAATTTTCCCGGAGAAGATGGCCGCTGCGCACGGGGGTTGCTGAAGTGCTGAGCGTGGTGCTCAGAGCAGTGTCTTTAATTGAGATTTTGCGCAGCTTGTTAGAGCTCCTTTCACCGTTAATCTGTAGCGGACCACTTTGCCAAGCAGCAGGAAGAACAAAGAGATCGAAAAAGAGACACTTGGCTCCCGGACGCTTGGCTGCTCAGAGCCGCGGGCACTTTGCTCCCATCTGCTTCCTCTTTCGCTTTGCTCCGGGCAGAGAAGCTGAATGTGTAATCAGCAGTGGACTGTAAGTACCCAAGGCAAAGAAAGCTCAGTGTGCCCCGCCTTTTTTTTTCTTTTTTTTTAAAATATTTTTTACACAGGGAGAGTTTGTGGATTGGGATTGTTGGCTGGGCTATGGTTTCTGTGCTGAAAATCCACTCCGCAGGAGCCGCCATTTGCTTTCTGCTTGCTGTCTTGATGGCTCTGTCTACATTGTCCGGCTGCTGCATCTAGGGGTTGGAGCTGGGCTGCATGCCGAGCCCTGTCCTCCGAAGGCTGGACCGCAGCCTCGAGTGCCTCGGTCACCTGTTTGCCGCTGCACCTTCGGGCAGAGCCTGCTCTGGGGTCGTTCTGCATCCCCCTGCGAAGGGACCCGTGCTCTGGAGGAGGGGGCGGGAGAGCCGTGGCGGCAGCTGCTTGGGCCCCAGGGGCCGGGCACCGGGCTGAGGAGCGGCGGAGGCCGCGGTGGCTCCGCTACGGTCACAGACGAGCGCGGCGCCCATGAGCACGGCCCAGAGGTGGAGGCGACGGCGGCAGGGTTTCATTTCTAGAAATCTGGACTGGAAACAGAAGCAGCAGTTTGTATAATCCCAAGAACTTGTTTATGCCAGGAAGCTGTAAGGGTAACATGAATATCATTGAGGAGATCTAACATGGTGGCGGGCGTGGAGAGATCAAGTCTCTGACATCTTCAACTGCGGGGGCATAGGGAGCCGTAAATTGACTAAATGCTGTTTGCTCAGGATCACTAGGCAATGCTGAGCTGACGTGGATCTGGGGCGTACAGTCTGGGCCCTTCAGAACACACACACTGAGCCCGGATGGGCTGCATTCAAGCTCCGGTTCGCCTGCTTCTCGTGACTCAGCACTACCAATCCCGCTGAAATAATTGGCCGGCCCTTAGGAACTTACAGAGGTAAAAGCCAACCGAGCCTTCATAGGCAGTGGCCACAGGATTGAAACGGGGATTGGGAGAGACAGTCAGTACCCACCCGTTGCATTGGTCACCCGGCAAAGGGAACGAACGGTCACCATTTGCATGGGATACCACCTTGGCAGAGAACTGACATCACGGGCAGAGGAGATAACTGCATTGAAACCAGCGCGACAGGTGTGTAATCCCCTAGCCATCTCTCTCCACACAGCGGGGAAACCTTAAGGGCCCCTCCCAGCTCTCCCATAAGGGCCCCTCCCAGCTCTCCTGTGAGCGCAATAGCCAGACCGAGGGAATCAGGAGTGACGCGGGACTCGTGGCACGGAACTCCCGGCTACCGCTCCAACCAGTGCTGACAACTGGGGTCTCTTGCACCAGCTACCAGGGGCATGGCTACCAGAGGGCAAGCAAATTCGCTGGGGGTTTTCAGCCCCAAACTCTACAAACTTAGGGTCTGAGGGAGGCAAACAGTGAGAGTGAGCCCAGGCGTTCATGAAAACAGGGCTCCCAGGAGCAGCAGACCTGGTGTGTAGCCAGTATTGTGGTGAGCATCACAGGTGAGCACGGCCTGGCTTGAGGAAACACAAGAAAAGGCCCTAGACACTTAGGATTGGAGACCCGCCCAGTCTGGGAGAAAGATCTGCTGCACAGTGAATGGTTCCCACCTATTGAGCGGAGAAGCTTGGCCCAGTGGGCACAGCTCCACCTACTGGAAGAGAAGTAAATCGAACTCTAGGATGGCATTTATTATTATTATTATTATCATTTTTTTCTTTTTTCTTTTTCTTTCATTTTTCAATTTTTATTTGTTGTTCTTTAACTTTTTTCAATGTTTTTAAATTTTTTTATTTTTTTATTTTATTATTATTTTTTAAATTTTAATTTTCACTTTTTTATTATCATTATTATTTTTGTAAAAATTTTTTTTTCTTTTCTTTCTTTCTTTATTTTCTATTTTTTTGTTTTTGTTTCTTTTGTCTTTTCATTTCTTTTCAATTTTCTTATTCCTCCTTCCTTGAATTCTACCTGCCTACTCTCATTCTCTTTAGTGACTTCTTCCCTTCCCTTCTAATATCTTTCTTCCCAAGCATCAAATAAATTTATAAGAGTAAACAGTAACTCAGCAGTCAAACAGAACAAGAAGTAACATGAGAAGCATAAAAAAGCAAGGAAGAAAAGGAGTACAAACAATTCAGGACAGCCTAAATATTCAGGAGGACCTAGAGTCAGCAGAAAAATGGTCATATAAAGAACTCAAGGAATACCTTAGACAGATGGAATGGAACTTTAAAGAGGATAAGAGACAGCAAATCCAAACAGTGAAAGAACACTTTGAAAATGAATTACATAAACAGATAAAAGAAGAAGTTAAGCATCTTTATCAGGAGATAGAGATTATTAAAGAAAATCAAACAATAATTCTAGAAATGAAGGAAACGATAAACCAAATTAAAAACTCAATTGAGAGTATCACTAACAGAGTGGAGTAAGTAGAAGCAAGAACGTCAGATAATGAAGACAAAATATATCATCTTGAAAAGAGCCTAGCCAACTAAGAAAGGCTGGTTAAAAATCACGAGAAAAAACATCCAAGAAATATGGGATAACATAAAAAAACCAAACCTACGAGTCATCGGGATAGAAGAAGGTACAGAGATTCAAACCAAGGGAATGAGTAACCTGCTGAATGAAATAATTGCAGAAAACTTTCCAGAAATAAAAAAGGAAACGGATATACAAATTGTAGATGCATACAGGACACCGAGCACACAAAATCACAGTAGACCAATGCCAAGACACATTGTTATGAAGATATCCAATATACAGAACAAAGAGAAAATATTAAAAGATACAAGAGAAAGGAGGCAGATTACATTCAGGGGTAAACCAATAAGGTTAACAACGGATTTTTCATCACAGATGCTGAAAGCGAGAAGATCCTGGAACAACGTATTTCAAACACTGAAAGACAATGGATGCCAACCAAGAATTCTGTATCCAGCAAAATTAAGCTTCAGGTACGACAATGAAATAAAAATCTTTCATGATAAACAAAAGCTAAAAGAATTTGCAGACAGAAAACCAGCATTGCAAAGCATCTTGAGCAAAGCACTACACGAGGAAGAAATGAAAAACAATAACCAAAACCATCAGTGGGAAGTGCCTCTATAAAAACAGAGGGCGGGGGGAAAGCTAACCATGGAGAAACAAACTAAATTAAAAAAAAGAAGATAAATAATCAAACATGGCTGGAAGTACAAACCATATATCAATAGTAACTCTAAATGTTAATGGCTTAAACTCTCCAATAAAGTGACATAGGCTGGTAACATGGATTAAAAAACCAAATCCAACAATATGCTGCCTCCAGGAGACACATCTGATTGGAAAAGACATACACAGGCTGAAGGTGAAAGGTTGGGAAAAAATATACCACGCACACTGTCCTCGTAAGCAAGCAGGGGTGGCCATCCTCATATTGAATAAAATTGACTTCAAGACTAAGTTAATCAAAAGGGATAAGGAAGGACATTATATACTGTTAAAAGGAACCATTCACCAACAAGACATAACAATTATCAATATTTATGCACCAAATAATGGTGCTGCGACGTTCATAAAACAAATTCTCCTCAAGTTCAAGAATCAAATAGACCACAACACAATAATTATGGGTGACTTCAACACACCTCTCTCACCACTGGACAAATCCTCCAAACAAAAGTTGAATAAAGAAACTATAGAACTCAATATCACAATCAACAACCTAGAATTAACTGACATATATAGAATATATCAACCATCATCAAGTGCATATACTTTTTTCTTACCAGCACATGGATCCTTCTCAAAAATAGACCATATATTATTCCATAGGGCAACCCTCAGTAAATATACAGGGGTGGAGATAATACCATGCATTTTATCTGATCATAATGGAATGAAACTGGAAATCAATGATAAAAGAAGGAAGGAAAAATCCTACATCACATGGAAATGAACAATATGTTACTGAATGATCAATGGGTTACAGAAGACATAAAGGAGGAAATCAAAAAATTCTTAGAGATAAATGAAAATACAGACACAACATATCGGAATCTATGGGACACAATGAAAGCAGTTTTAAGAGGGAAATTCATCGCCTGGAGGTCATTCCTCAAAAAAAGGAAAAACCAACAAATAAATGAGCTCACACTTCATCTCAAAGCCCTAGAAAAGGAAGAGCAAAACAACAGCAAATGTAGTAGAAGGCAAGAAATAATTAAAATCATAGCGGAAATCAACAAAATTGAAACAAAAGAAACTATTGAAAAAATTAACAAAACTAAAAGTTGGTTCTTTGAAAAAATAAATAAGATTGACAGACCCTTAGCCATGCTAACAAAGAGAAGAAGAGAGAGAACTCAAATTACTAACATACGGGATGAAAAAGGCAATCTCACAACAGACGCTACAGAAATACAGAAGACAATTAGAAATTATTTTGAAACCCTATATTCCAATAAAATAGAAGATAGTGTAGACATG